AGTACAGTTGTGAAGTATTGACCTCTTCACTCACTCACTCACTCACTCACTCATTCAGACTCAATCACTTGCTCACTGACTTACTCATTGATTCACTCTTTTACTGACTCACTCACTTATAGTTAGTCCCAAATGACATGCACTATAAACTATGCACAGTCTGACAGCCCCTCCCTTTCCACTACTTAAGGAAAACTGGCAGCTGAGTGTATGAAGTGTCCAACATTTTACACTTTTTTCTGTTAAATAAGTACATCATCTAGGTATTTGGAGTGTACTTTTTCTTTTTAGAATTTTCAGTGTGACTCTACACTATTTGTACTACAAAATGGCATAGAGTATTGCATAAGTATGCAGATTGGCTCACTGATTTACTCACTCACTGATTCGTTCAATCACTGACTCATTTGCTCACTTACTGACTCACTCTCAAACTCACTAACAGCCTCGATGACGTATGCAGCCTTCTAATGCGACCTCCGGAGGGCGCAGCCTTCTAAATGAGACACAGCTACTTACTCAATCACTCACTCACTCACTCACTCACTCACAGACTCATTCACTTAACCATTGACTCACTGACTGATTCATTCATTGACTCACTCACTCACAGTCTCATTTGCTCATTCACTCGCTGACTCACTCAGACTCACTCATTTACTCACTCCCTCACTCATTTGTTCACTCTTGTAGTGAGGTTGTTTTTTTTATATACAGTATATAGATCTGTTTTTTAAGGCTCTGAATCATAATCAGTGTCTTAATTCTTCAAAGTAGTCAAACGTATTATTTTCTTCCTTCCCTCTTTGGGCCAATTCCGGATTAATTGAAGGAGGGGATGATCCCAGTGATTTTACCAATATTGCGCTTTTGCTCAAAGAGCTAGTAGAATGCTCACTGTAGGGCATGAAAGGCCGTGTTTGTGTGAGTGCCTCTCTAATGTTTTCCGAACAGGAAATCATCCATCTGCTTTATTGTCTGAAACACTGTGATATAAAATCTATAACAGTAAAGCAGATCCTCATAATAAGAAGTTTTATTTGAACTTGTCTTGTTTATTATACTTTCTTACACTCAGTTAAATATTTTCATTAGTTCATAACATAAAGCGTTCTCTAGATGTCACTAAAGCAGTGAGTTGAGGCTGAGCACATCTGGAGCTCTGACATGCTGCCAGTAATGATTGAACAATGATGAGTTCTAATAACCATAGTGGTTTTGTACTTCTCCGTTTATTCTCCTCATGTATTCACATATGTGTCTATTCTTCATCTTTGCACCCAATTACTATTTTTCTCATTGGCATATTCTGGGTCATATCTGTAGGCGAATGGTCGCCATAGCAGCCGCTTGAGAGCCGATTATAATCACACATGTCACCACAAACAAGTCTGATCAAAAAGACACGGATTGCATCTCTCTCTCTCTCTCTCTCTCTCTCTCTCTATCTCTATCTCCACCCCCACACCCTCTCCCCATCCCCCACTCTTCTCTTTACCATCTGTCCTTTAATCCTGCCCCTCCTTATGGTACTCGTTATAACCTGCCTATTTGACACTGGATCATAAAGGAAAGTAGCAGAATAAAGTTTATCGAATTCAGGTCAAGGAGGTCAGTAGCATCTGCAGAAAGCTGTCCGTTAGCATTCCTGTTCATCTCCTGAAAAACTGCAGCAACCTGATTGAAGCCATCTTTTCTTGTTTGGGGCATAAATGTACAACCCCATTTCCAAAAAAAAGTTTGTACATTTTGTAAAATGCAATAAAAACAAGAACCTGTGCTTTGTAATTCTCTTTAACCTTTGTTTAACTGACAAAACTACAAATAAAAGATTTCCAGTGTTTTCACCAACCTTATTGCAGTTTGTAAATAAACCAATTTTAATTTTGATGGCTGAAAAGTTGAGACAGCGGTAAAATAAAAGTGAAAAAATTATTAAGTTAAATGTTTTTTGAAACGTTCTACAATAAGCAGGTGAATTGTTAATAGGAGAGGATATCATGAATGGGTAAAAAAAAAATGTGTTTATGCAGTTTAAGGTTCAAAGAACACATTATTTTCCACATACTGTACATTATTGTTTCTCCTCTATGCCCCGCCTTTCTGAAACGCGTCAATTTTTACAAAGCTCATCGGTCTGAAAAGCGAGGTGTGCTCTGATTGACCAGCTATCCAGTGCGTTGTGATTGGCCGGATACCTCAAGCGTGTGACAGAAACGTTACGCCCACTGCTGTTCCTGAAACCACGCTTTCTTTCTTTGCGTGCACATTTGGGCGGTGTTATGCAAATCTTCCCACATTGTGACGTAGGTATGTGGGGGCGTGTTAGAACGAGCTGTTTTAGGTAGGCGTGGTTGACTCTTAACTTTTATAAAGAATATCTCTTTGGATTTGAGACTTTAGTCTTTGCAACTTTACAGATCTTCTTTATGCACCAAGAGCTTGTAACACTCCAAAGAGAAAGGAAAAATTGAAATCGCATCATATGACCCCTTTAATAATTCTCTTTGACCTTTATTTAGTTGACAATAAAATATCTCCTTAATCTTGCTCGATACAAAACTTCACCTGCTCAACAGTCAGTGGTCATTGTTCATAAGGAGATCTCTATATAGTTTTGGAACTATATTGATTGTTTATGTTACTAAGGATGGTTGTTAAAGGTGTTGCGTGGTGATACACAGAACCGTTGGCTGAAGGCTGTCACAGCCATGCTTTATCGTGAATAAAACACAGCTGTTGACCAATCAGAATCAAGGACTGGATCTAACCGTTTTATAAATTAGTTATGTTAACATAATCTTAATTAAAATACTAAAACATATACTAAAAATATAGAAGTAGAACATTTAACTCACACCATATTTTTTTATATTTATTTTTATTAGAACGAACGTCCAAGAGGCACATATTATCTTAGGATTGCCTTTGAATATTGTCTTATATAGATAAAGGGGAGCCTTGAAGTCAAAAATATTGAGAACCACTGGTGTAAATTATTATGTTTCTCTAGCTATGACATGTCTAGGTTTTGTTGTTGTTTAGTTTGAGGTTGGATTGATTTTACAGTGTTATTTAGGCTAACTCTGATGTATGACTCAAAAATGTCCATTTATATGATGTCTATTAATGTATAGAATAATAGATGAATATAATATGATTTATTGTATAAATATACATGTGTTCTATGCATTTTTATCTAAGCCAGTTATAGTATATTTATTTAAATGAATATATACATAATTTTACATGAAACGCCTTGAAGTTGAAAAATCAATTGCTTATGAAAAAAAAAATCATGTCATATTAGTGCCTATCAGAAGACTAGCATCATTGGGTAAATCTACATATTCTCATAATTTTCCATGTTGCCACAATGACAGTAGCCACATGTGTATCCACATGAATCAGATCAATTCCTGCCTTATGGTGGTATCAATTTGTACATGCAGTTGCATTTTCTGAAGCGACATTCGGGCTTGATAAATCACTTTGTGGGTGCAATTTAATCTATTTGCATTGACATCGCAATGTATGTTGTGCATGTATGGAGAAACGGTTTACAAATTACAGATTACAAATTCAGCACCCTGAAAACTGACAAAAAATGATAGATTTGTTTTCTGCATGAAGAAACCCTTGTGGTTTTACCTAAGACTTTCCAGAATTCATTAATTCATTCATTTTTTTAATTAATTCATTCATTTATTTGTTTGTTCAGTCATCCATATGTTTTTTCATTGATTAATTAATTTTTTCTCTCTCTCTCCCTCTCTAGTGGTTTAGCTGACATCGGTTTGAACCCTCTTCTCATGGTCATTTTAGTCGGTTAAGATTAAAAAGCCTGAAATCCTCCTGGCACGAAAAAGGGCGGGAGCTGAGTAAAAGAGTGAATTAATTTTGTCAAATCAGCGTCACAGCAGTTTAAAAGTCTGTTTGTTTCTGTAAAGCATCTAAAAGTGTGGATTTATGTCCATGTATATGTGGTAAATATTGTGATATGTCTGAGTAAATTTACAAAGCTATGTTTGAAATTATATTTGTGTGTTTATATTTGTGTTTGTGTGGGTGAGCGTCTGCTTTTGGCAAGCTCATTCCAATGTGGGATTAGTAGGCAACGCTGAATTGTGGGGAGAAATTGGATCAGATTACAGTGAATTTTGGCACCGGATTATCTTCAATCCCTTCAGTGTATCCAAGTACCCTGAATGAGTGTTTATGAAAGAGAAGACACCAGAAAAAGAGAAGAGAGTTGCAGACTTTAGAAGAAGTGGATTCTTGTATCTTTGTCTCCTTCTTCTGTTTTCATCTCTTATGTTTAATGTGAGACTGTTTTCATCTCACCTAGGATGTCTGTCTCTATATCTCATACACATCTCCTGCTCTATGGGTTGTGTTTTTGGCTGGTGTCAAGACCAGCAGTCCTGCTGTTTTCATGGCTTTTACCAGAAGCCTCTTTGCTTCCTTCCACTGGCACCACGCTGTTCAGCAGAATTAACCAATCACCTGAGGGTTTTTTTTCTACAAGCTTGAGAGATTTAAGAGGGAAAGTTTGGGCTTTTTAAACGAAATCTCTGCTTATCATGTTAGGTTCAAATTGTCATTCCACTGGGAGCTCAAGCAGAAGCCCCAGGGGATACCGGCACATGTAAATAAAGTTCTCAAACTTACTCATCTTCTCATAATTTCCATATCAAAATATCTGACATTGTTACCACTATTTCTAGTTTCTAACAGAAAGCATCTTTTGATTATTGCATGCTGTGGAGCTGATCTGTTGGGTTCTTGTATCATGTCTTAACTTGGCAACCCATTTTACTGGATGCCTTCCAAAGCACAGTGCAGCGTGAATTATACCAGAGATAGGCAACTCTGGTCCCGGAGGGCCACTGTTCTGCAGAGTTTAGCTCTATTCCTAATCAAACACACCTAATACAGAAAAATCTAACCTATGTCTTTAGGATTGCTTTAAAATTACAGGCATGTGCGTTTGATTAGGGATGGAACTAAACTCTGCAAGACAGAAACAGCCCATTCGTGAACTAGAGACTTATGAGGTACTCAACTAGTTGTTCACTTCCAACACACCTAATTTTAGTAGAGCTGTGTGTGTTAAGGATGTTTAAGGTGGTCCATAAACAACATATGCTCACATGCTAAATGTTTTTTCGTGCTAACACTGCAACTCTTAAATATTTTCCATAGGTGGGTTATGAGAACGCAGGCACAGTGGAGTTCCTGGTGGACAAGCATGGAAAACACTACTTCATTGAGGTGAACTCCCGTCTACAGGTGGAACATACGGTTACAGAGGAAATCACTGAGTGAGTGACCAACTATGTAATGACATTTGCAAGTTGCATAGTAAATAAACTCCCAAAGATGTTGAGGATTTAATAGCTTTTTGCTAGATTTATAGCTTGTTTCGAGCTATTTTCCAAAATGTTAACTTGGCATATGTTAAGCGTTAAATGAATAGCAAATCAAAAACACATCAGATAATTGTGTTTGTGTATATATGCTCCATTCATTTCTCTGAATCAGAATGTCTGGAGGATATTACATTTACATTTGCTATTATATTCTATTAGATGCTTTTTTTTATCAAAGCGAATTCTAAGAAAGCACAAACATGTACACTTCAATTGCTTAAACAGACAAGCACTGCAGAGCACTTGTGTGCAAATATACAAATGCAATAATTGCATTCACAGTAGCAATCAGGGTTCTCAAGACAATCTGATAGCAGAATTTACATACATTTTTACGTTTTTATTTATTTATTTATGTATTTATTTATTTACCAGGAGTTTCCATACGTTAAAGTGCATTAAATAAATAAATAGTCTTAGGGTGTGTTTGAATATTGTTGTAGACAATGGTGGACCTTTGTCAATAAGTCAAAAAGGTCAAACAAGTTAAAAAGGTTGACAACCACTGCAGTAGGTCAGACTGTACAGTAGGTTAGGTATTGGTCACTTTGGACCAGCAACAATATAGGTCACTTTGGACCAGCAAATCTAGTAGTGCTTGTACTACTGTACATACAGTAGCACTAGTGAGAGTGTAATACTAATTTAGTGATCAGGGAGTCCTGGAGGAGATTTTGTAGGTTCAGTCGATGTGAATGTGATTCCTAAAAGAAGTGAATCATAAATTGGTGTCTGAAGAAAGTCTGAAGTAAATGATGTGTCGACTGTTTTGATGGGTTATTTGATGTATGTGCCCCATTGGTTCCACAATTATTGTGTAGGCCAAAATATTACCAGCGTGTGAGGACGTGCAGCATGCATGTGAATGTGCATCCATACGTAGGTGTATGTGTTTGCAGACTGTCAATGTACAGTGTCTAGGATAAATGCTTGTCTGCCACCCCACCTTGACAAGTTGGCAAAGGGGAGAGAGAGATGGTAGGAAGAGAGAACATGTGTTTGGAACAGCATGTGCAGAGAAAAAGAGTGTGAGAGAGAGGAAGGAAAAGGAAAGAGGCTTTATAAATAGCTCTCACCTCCCCTGATAACCTATGAGCTGCTCCATAATGACATAGAGATGAGCCTGATCTCATCACATAAGCACACACACATACACACATATGCTGACAAGCACTCAGACATTAACACACTAATGAGTGAAATGATTGATAGTGCTCCTTTCATTCTTCCTCAACACACATACACATGCACAAACACATCTTTGTGTTCCAGCACAAGTTCCTCACCACAGAAATGGAGACTCATACATTATAGATATCACAGTTGTCAAGTGTAGTTGACAGTGCTGCTTTGAATTGGCTCTCATTGCGTGTGCTGCCATCTTAGATTTGCAAAGGATTTACTGAAATATATAATGAGTATTAGTCTGTCATTTGTATGGATATTATACTGCCTCTTTTACATGTGGAAATATAGATGGTCTGTAATGCAATCATATTTGTACGTTTATTTTGCTGCACAAAATGTGTGTATATGTGTGTGTGTGTGTGTGTGTGTGTGTGTGAGAGAGATTAATAATATATTCCATTTTACACACTAATGTGATCCAGTCTTTGTGGTTCCTGTTTGTGGTTAATGTTATAAAGTGTGACTGTGTGTTTTTGATTTGATACAAACACTGTAATTTCCTTTTCACATGCTTATTATAATGAAAAAATGGAAATGTGGTCTTGATAGGGGAAATACCTTTTTTATTTTTATTTGATGTGCTGTTCTGTTCTGTTTATTTGTTGTTTATTTTTTATTTTTATTTATTTGTTTATTTTTGTTCCTCTTTTATATTACGATAAAACAAGAGTATAGATAGTATAGATATATTTATAGTATGTGATGAATGTGGATTTCATTTTTTAAATATCATGGTTATCAATGCTGATGTATTATGACTCCCCTAGTTCGAATTTGTTCTGAAATCTCAGACTTTATATCACAAACTATTGCTTTGGCAAATCTCAGCACAGAGACATTGTTGAGATATTATCTGAAACTCTGAAGGAGAATGTAAGATATTATTCTCTCAGGAGCAAGCTGCTGAGAAGCAGGAGACTTAAGTCTCCATTTGCTCCACATTTAATCTCATTAATCTGTCTGGGGAAACCATTAAACTATCTTGTCATGATTAAGCACATTTTCCCCTTAATTCTACTGTAATGGCAACAATCAGTAATGAAAATGGTCCTGTACAGACACAACGATTTGTTTAATGTAAATTAGTGTAAATTAAATTCAGTACACCAAACAACAAATAAACATTTTACATTAAATTTAAATAACAAATACTACTAAAATGTATAAATACTGTAGCAAATTAGCTCAAAATGGAATGTCTATAAATAATTACAATTAATTATGATTAATTACAATTATTTATACTGGCTGTCAGTAGTAACTGTAGGAGAATTAAATTGTCATCAACCAATCTGTTCGTCCAGCGAACATTTTGTGTAATTTCATATCAACTCTAAGAAAGGATATTTTCGTGTCCACAGAAAACAACCTTCTTACAGTAACCTACTAATGCATTAGAGCATGTAGCTAGATCAGAATCGTAAAGGGACATTAATTTGCAAGGCAGAATCAGAAACTCATGTAATTTGTGCACAATAATTTTATTAACTAAATGCTAACACATAACTAGTCTAAACAAACACTCATACAATCACTCATACATGGGGAAAGGGCAAATGAGACTTGATGGATGAAACCATCAGGAAAACCAGAGAATGAAGCTATGAAAAGAGTCAGTTAACCACCTGAGTGAAACCATCCTTTTTAGAACGGGGTCTACAGCTTA